TGAGACCAAGAATGCCTGTCCCTACATATTATTGAGTCCCCTCCTAGCATGCCATTTCCAGTAAGTCTCCCCTCATACCGCGATTGAGGGAGACCAATCTTCTTAAGGCCAGGAATGAAGTCAACAAAAACCCAATGACATCCTCTGCTTGATGGCCCATGGTGATGCTTCCTTCTGGCCTAGCGCGGTTACAGACATATTTCTTTAGGACTCTCATGAACCTCTCAAAGGGGAAAATATTTTGTAGAAATACAAGGCCTAGAATGACAATCTCATCGACTAGATGAACTAGGACGTGCATCATGATATTGAAGAAGGATGGTTGGAACACCAGCTCGAAACTGACAAGACATTGTGCCACATCACTCCTTAGCCTTGGTAGGATTTCTGGATCGATCACCTTCTAAGAGATTGCATTGAGGAATGCACATAGCTTCACAATGGCTAATCGAAATTTTTCCGGTAGAAGCCCTCTCAATGCAACCAGAAGCAGTTGCGTCATAATCACGTGGTAGTCATGAGACTTTAGGTTCTAGAACTTTTTTTCTGGCATATTTATTATTCCCTTTATATTCGACGAGAAGCCAGACGGGACCTTCATACTGAGCAGGCATTCAAAGAAGATTTCCTTCTCTTCTTTGGTAAGAGTGTAGCTGGCAAGACCTTCATACTGCTTTGGAGGCATGCCATCTTTTTCGTGCAAATGTTGTAGGTCCTCTCGTGCCTCCGGTGTATCTTTTGTCTTCCCATACACGCCCAAGAAGCCTAGCGGGTTCATGCAAAGGTTCTTCATCACGTGCATCACATCGATTGAAGAGCGAACCTCTAGGTCTTTCTAGTAGGGTAGGTCCCAAAATATAGATTTCTTATTCCACATGGGTGCGCGTCCCTCAGCGTCATTCAGAACAGATAGTCCGCCGGGACCCTTTCCAAAGATTACGTGTAAATCATTGACCATAACAAGTACGTGATCACTGGTACACATGGCGGGCTTCTTCCGGTGATCTGCCTCGCCTTTGAAATGCTTGCCCTTCTTTCGACATTGATGGTTGGTCGGAAGAAATCGACGATGCCCCAGGTACACATTCTTCCTGCATTTGTCCAGGTATATACTTTCGGTGTCAACTAAACAATGTATGCATGCGTGGTATACCTTGTTTGTCTGTCCTGAAAGGTTACTGAGAGCAGGCCAATCATTGATGGTTTACAAACAGCAACGCATGCAGGTTAAATTCTTCCTGATCGAGCTCATCCCACACACGTACACTGTTTCCATTCCACAGTTGTAAAAGTTCTTCAACTAGTGGCCTTGGGTACACATCAATATCGTTGCCAGGTTGCTAGGGCCTTGGATGAGAATTGCCATCATAATGAACTTCCGCTTCTTGCACAGCCAAGGAGGAAGGTTATAGATACATAGAGTTACGGTACAGGTGCTGTGATTGATGCTCTGCTCCCCAAAAGGGTTAATGCCATTCGCGCTTAAAACAAACCATACATTCCTTGCATCACCTGCAAACTCCTCCCAGTACTTTCTCTCGATTTTTCTCCACTGCCACCCGTCAGCGGGTGCTCTCAACTTTCCGTCTTTCTTACGGTCCTGTCTATGCCATCGCATCAACTTGGCATGCTCTTTGTTTTTGAACAGACGTTTCAACCGTGGTATTATAGGAGCATACCACATCACCTTGGCAGGAACCCTGTTCCTGGGGGGCTCGCTCTCAACATCACCAGGGTCATCTCATCTGATCTTATACCGCAATGCACCGCATACCAGACATGCGTTCAAATCCTCGTACACGCCGCGATAGAGGATGCAGTCATTAGGGCATGCATGTATCTTCTGCACCTCCAATCCTAGAGGGCATACGACCTTCTTTGTTGCATCCGTACTGTCGGGCAATTCATTATCCTTTGGAAGCTTCTTCTTCAATATTTTCAGTAGCTTCTCAAATCCTTTGTCAGGCACACCATTCTCTGCCTTCCACTGCAGCAATTCCAGTATGATACCGAGCTTTGTGTTGCCGTCTTTGCAATTGGGCTACAACGCTTTTTTGTGATCCTCTAACATGCAATCGAACTTCAACTTCTCCTTTTCAGTTTCGCACTGTCTCCTTGCATCAACAATGACCCGGCGGAGATCATCATCGGGCACATCGTCTGGTTCCTCTTGATCTTCAGCTTCCCCCATTGCAGCATCACCGTATTCAGGGGGCACATAGTTGTCATCATCCTCTTCTTCTTTGCTGTCTTCCATCATAACCCCTATTTCTCCATGCTTGGTCCAAACATTATAGTGTGGCATGAAACCCTTATAAAGCAGGTGGATGTGAAGGATTTTCCGGTCAGAGTAAGACTTCGTATTCCCACATATAGGGCATGGACAACACATAAAACAATTCTACTTGTTTTCCTCAGCCACTTCGAGAAAATTATGCACGCCCTTAATGTACTCGGAGGTGCGTCTGTCACCGTACATCTATTGCTGGTTCATCTGCGTGCATTATATATAATTAAGTGTGTCAAAAACCATTACAGAACATCATGAATAGATAACTGACCAAATTAATAGAAGTTCATCATCACATTAAAACCAAAGTACATACATAGTTCTTATTGAACAACATATATCTCTCCAGAGCATAATTAAACCATACATTGAAACTATGTAAAACATTTCAATGCAACAACAAATGCGATCATAATCGCAACCAATGTAACAATTGATCCAACGGCATAATGATACCAAGCCTCGGTATGAATTGCATATTTTTCGAATCTTTCTAATCTTCAAGCGCATTGCATCCATCTTGATCTTGTGGTCATCGACGATATCAGCAACATGCAACTCCAATATCAACTTCTCCTCCTCAATTATCTTTATTTTTGCCTTCAAGTAATTGTTTTATTCTTCAACTAAATTTAACCTCTCGACAATAGGTTCAGTTGGAATTTCCGGTTCACATACCTTAAATAAAATCTATGTCATGTTGGTCGGCATAATTTTCATAAACAATAAATGAACCAAATTGTTATAAAAGATAATATATACCACATCCGAATCATAGACATGACAAGGGCCGAAGGGGCGGATACCAAAACCATCGCACTATATAATAACTAACAATAATAAAAGTAAGAAAATTATACATGTATCTATCTAATCATACAAGTAAGAATTTTTTTTTCTTTTAGAAAGAAGATAAGAACAAGAGGCTCACCACGGTGGTGCCGGCAACGAGATCGGCGCGGGCGATTGACGGCGGTGAAGATGGGGACGGGACGTGACGGACCGCTAAACCTAGACAAATCTTGAGGAAAATGGAGCTTGGAGGTCGAGCTTGGAGAGGAGAAAGCTTAAGTAGTGTGGCTCGGGCATTTCATCGAACACCTCATGTGCATAGGAGGTGAGCTAGAGCACCACAAGGCTCTCCCCTCGTCAGCAAGAAAAACATAGCAATGGAGTGCTCTGCTCGCGGGTGAGGGGTATATATAGCCAACTCATTGGTCCCAGTTCGTGGCTGGAACAGGGACTAAAGCCCCCCCCCCTTTGGTCCCGGTTCAGGCCACGAATCGGGACCAATGGATGTGGGCCAGGAGCGAGGCCCATTGGTCCCGGTTCGTGTATGGAATCGGGACCAAAGGGTCTAGACGAACCGGGACCAATGCCCCACGAGGCCCGGCCGCCCCCCCTGGGCTCACGAACCGGGACGTATGCCCCATGCTCCCGGTTCGTGACTGAACCGGGACTAATGGGCTGGCCAGGCCTGGACCAAAGCCATGTTTTCTACTAGTGCTAGTGTAAAGGTAATTTAATTGGATGGTCGTTGCACCTGGTACAAGGGGAATCACATGGCTGAAGTGAGATGGAAATGAGTGAATGAATCAATGTATTCATTAAGAGGGAATCCTTTTTTTCCTAGAATCATATATCACTGCTCGGATCCATGGGTTGCATGCATCATTCTGATGCAGAGGCCGGGAGTGATCCTCCTTTAAAAAAAAGAAAAACCACTCCCCAGATATGCCGCTGCCAATGCCACAACCGCGTTTCCTACGGGAAGAACACTAATTAATGGCCGTCTCTACGTTTGGCACCCGCGGTGCCAAATAAATCAGCACTTGTTTCACATCCGCGCGTGACAAATCAATCTTCTCCCTACACTCCCTAATGGAGTATGAGGGACAAATAGGTATAAACAGTGCAAGCTGCAATGCATATTTATAGTGAACAGTTGTCTACATGAACAAGTGAATAGTCTACAGAAATGAGTGAACAATGCTCGTTTGCAGTGCATCTGCAACATTATGTTGCTACAGAATTTACTCCGGTTTGTCCGTTCTAGATCCAGCGGGCATGTTACGCCGTGACATGTATCGGTTTATTTCGGTGCGTTCTATATCCAATGGGCATGTTGCATCGTGACATGTATCGGTTCTTCCAAGTTATTACAACCTTTCTTCTATAGGGTTTATTTACTTTACAATATACTGTCACATTTAGTTATTAAACAAATGTACTATTCCCTTCGATCGGTGTTACTTGTTGCCGCCTTAGTAAAGTTGTAATAAAGCAGCGACAAGTAACATGATAGGAGGAAGTACTATTTTTTCTATATTTAGGGCAATTTGAGAGATCATTTTACATCTTTTTTTAGATGGTGAGAATTTTACATCTTTTATTTTGAGGGACAAGAGCATTTTACATCTTTTTTTTCCTGAGAAAAAGAGCATTTTAAATCTATCTCGTGCGTTCGGACGGATGCGGCCCATTCAAACTTCCCGCATCGTGTTCATTCCCGACCTCCGCTGCATCTGGCGGCTGCGCACACCCAAACCAAACCCTCGCTCGCCGGCGCAGATGGTAGCTCACGCTCTCGCCACCCCACTCATCTGGTACGTCCTCTCTTCCCTCAATCCCCTCAACTCCAGGATAAGTTTCTAATCTTTTCGTCCCCCAATCTGAGCAGATCGGCCGCTCCTCGTCCCCACGTACGGCGATGGCGCCGGGCTCCCAAAAGAAGGAGAAGGGCGTGGAGGAGGTCGACCCGACGGCGAGGCTCACCGACGACATCCTCGTGGACATCATCTCGCGCGTGCCGTACAAGTCGACATGCTGTTGCAAGTGCGTCTCCCCGCGGTGGCGCGACCTCATATCCCACCGCGACCACCGAGAGAAGATGCCGCAGTCCATCCTCGGCTTCTTCTACCAAGGTTACAACAAATTCCGCTTCCCCAAGAAGGCTCGTTACTTTACCAATCTGTCACGGCAACGCTATCCTCTCGTAGACCCCTCGCTGTCATTCCTGCCCAACCATCACAGTCACAGCCTTGACATCTTGGATGGCTGCAATGGCCTCCTTCTCTGCCGCTGCTGGAAGGCCACTGATCCCAAGACATTGGATTATGTGGTGTGCAATCCGGACACTGACGAATGGTTGGTGGTGCCTGCCACTGAATCCTCCAGCAAGGTCAGTGTTGCTCGCCTGGGGTTCGACCCGGCCGTTTCTTCCCACTTCCATGTCTTCGAGTTCATAGATGAGGAGGCATGGGGTATAGACGAAGACGAGCGAAATGATTATTGCTTTGGACGCATTGAAACATTGGCGATTTATTCGTCCAAAGATGGAGCTTGGAAATATCAAACAGTTGAGTGTGATCCATTTGTGTTACCCAGGAATTCAGTAAGCGCATTTTTAAATGGGATCTTGCATTTGGCTGACTTCCATAATTTTATAGTAGCTGTTGACGTGGAAGGAGATAATTGGTGGTACATTGGTATTCCTAAGCTACCATACAATGATGCTGATATCAATGATGTATTTCCATCACAGGGACAGTTGTATTTTGCAAATAGTACTACTGGTTCTGAACTATCCGTATGGGTTCTTGAGGACTACGTTACTAGAAAATGGACTTTGAAGCATAGTGTCAGCCTCTTGCAGTTGTTTGGAACAGAGTATTATTCGTATGCGGATGATTATCGTGTTATTTCAATCCACCCAGAACACAATCTGATTTTCATAGTCGCTGGAGACAAGAAGATTCTAATGTCATATGATATGGATTCTATGCAGCTGTGTTTTATACGTCAGCTTGGATCTGATTGTGGAGTTAAATTGCTTGGTTACAGTGACAATGCTCCTTTTTATCCACATGTTCCCTTGTTCTCACTGTCATTAGCAGACGGGCACTAAATCTCTTTCTTGTGTACTGCAGCTTCAAAATTGTCCATCTTTCTAATGATATTGTAGTTGGGTCTTGAATTCGGGCAGCAGTGACTTGGGGTAGATGTTTATGATGTTGTGATAGTTTTTGTTGGTGTTTGAGTAGGCTCATGTCCTGACTACTGCAGTTAACTTTGTGACTGAGCTTGTGCTTGTGTACTTGTATATATTCATGGCAGTTAGCAGCCCTTGCAATTGTATCACCCTGCTACTTTTATTATGGATATTATGATCGTTCTGCTGAACCTCCTTATTTCTCTCTTTGAGAATATATTATGTGTTCCAACTTTTGCACTTGGATCTCCTCTGGCTTTGTCATGCTACCTCCTCTTGCTCTGCCATGCAAATAAATGATTGGATCCTATATTGTTAACAATATGATCTGGAACCTTATGTTAGTCTATGTGTGAGTATTTCTTTTGGAACAAGATAATGTTGTTAAGAGTGTTTAGTTTTTTATGTTTAAACTGGCTTTATGTCGTCTCTTCTAAGCCTTTTTATTTAATTGCATAATTCAGTCACCGCAATATGAGATCTTCACATAGTAGTGGATGATTGGATCCACCTGAAGTAGGAGACTTTTGGTTGTAGATGCCTTCTCTGTATGCTATTGCAACTGTGGAGCATGTGGGGACTATACTGAAGTGTTAAACAACTAGTAGTAAGTATTCTTTTGTGACACCAATCAACACTTCTGTCATTGTACTTTATCAAAACCTCGCTTAGCTGTGCTGTAAGTGACATTTGAGAGACCTTGACAACCTGATCAGGTTTAGGCAAGCAGTTGAAGTGGTGTTCTTAACTACTTTATTATCATTATTCTGCCTGTGAACCTTGTGTGGGTGCCTGCTCTATTTAAAAAAATAGCATTATAACTGGCCTATTACTGTTGTGTACTAGTATCAGTTTGTGCACTGATGCAGACCTAGCCACTCTTGAATTGGTAGATCAACAGAGAGTTGGATATGGATGATGGCAAGCTGGGCGTTAATTGAAGCCACTCTTGGGTGTGGATCTTCCTCACACTATTTCTAAATTGGACAACTAGGAAGGATTTCCATTTTATTTGAAGGTTACTACTCTCACTATGGTAATGGATCAATGAGATGGAACAGTGTGAATAAAGGAAAGTCAATTCCTTCTTCAGACGTGCCCTTCAAATTAGATACACTAATGTACTAATCCTAAAGAAAGTTTCAATAGCGCATAATATTGTCTGTTTTTGTGCCTTTTCTATTGTGGCTGGCTTAATTCACATACACGGGCTTTCTTTGTTTCTGCATTGGCAGCTTAGCTTCACCGTTCTGTTTTGCTCAACAACAAAAGAAACTTTTTTTTTGCGGGGAAACAACAAAAAAAACTTTGACGTTCGGCACCTACAAAGATACAATAAAAGGCGTAAAAGAAAAGCAAATGGCAACGACCGTCTCACAGAAATGTACAACAGAGGAGTACGGAACTCCAAAATAATATATGAAAATTTCTCTAGAGAAAACGACCCGGCAAGGCGCGTGTCTGCTTCTAGTCTTCTCAACTTTCTCTTCGGAAACTATGCATCCTCTAGCAGATTTCTGTCTATGTGTTGTGCCTGCCATGATAGCTGTAATGAGGCCGGTTACACAAGTCTTAAGAACATGTGAATCAACATAGTCAAGGATGCCTACTATAGTACTATCCCAAACGCGCTATATGTGTCTAACTCCTAGGTCAAAGTGTAGTTACTTCCTCTTTCTCTTAAGCCTCAATATTTGAGAGATGGTGTAAGCCGAATGCCATAGGAAGAAGACCCATGACAACTAGATAGATATATATCCAACTAGTATTGATGGAAGTGTGAATTCCTAATATTTACAGAACAAGATTGGAGGTTGGTGTGGTGAGTGCGCATTGAGTACTTTACAAAGCACAGATCAAGAACATACTATCTTTTAGTACAATGAAAGTTCATAAACGCCAATTAGTTGGTCGTTGTATACTATCTTCTAATAAAGACATTGAAGTGTAAACGTGGTTCAATTCAGTAGTCCTTGCATTCAGTGGTCCTTGCGGTTCAATTCAACGATGGGAATGAGTGAATGGATTATATGTTTGCTGATGCAGTCCTTTCCTTTATGACATTTGTGTGACCTATGTTAATGTGTGCTCCTCTTTTGTTTAATTATGTGATGTTTTTTTGTTGTATTTGATAATGGTTGATAGTGTGTTTTGGGGTTGTTGATATTGTGCATCACTTGTCACCACTAGAGAGTTTTAGTGGGTTTTTTCCACGGGCGGGGATGGGAGGGTTGATTGTATGTTGTATGTGTTTTTTTTTGATCTTATTTTAAAAATAGAAGATCTCCTAAACCGAGCATCCAAATTATAAACGGTTTTCACCATTGCGCTACTCATGTCAATATCTACAAAACTAGGTCTCATGTTAATAAGTTTCGATGATCTTTTTTTAGACACAACTTATGCTCCCAAAATGACACATGTGTACTCCCCGAGATAACATAAGTGTACTCCCTCACACACACTTGGCTCCCATGTAGTGCAACTTCTACTCTCTGCGCAGTACAATTTTTCTCCCCAGATGTAACTTATACCCCAATGCGGTGCAACATGTAGTTCTTGCATGCTGCAATATGTACTTCGATGCAAACTGTACTTCACACCTCAGTACAATATGTGATTCTTTGAAGTTACAATTTATACTCTACGTGCAGTAACACATACTTCTGGTGCAACCTATACACGAGAAAAATAAAGAAAAAAAATACTCAGGAAGAAACACGGGAAGGACCAACTGTAGTCTCCTCTCGACTCCCGAGTGACAGACTTCACATCCTTCTGAGTGAACGCCATGTGACAGGCCCGAACGGCCCGTGTGTGCTAGTTGCTCCCCACGAAAAATACCACGGAGAAATTTCTAGTTGTAGAGAAAACAACGTGGAATGGAATTTCTAGTTGCAGTCTATACCATGGTGGTCATAATCAGGTAAATCGCGCAAGTTTAGATACCATATAATGTACCATATTCGTGGATGCCTACTATTCCTAAGTGACATCGCCTTCTCTTCCTCTTAAGTCTCGACATTTGAGAGATGGTATAGATTGGAAGCCATAGAAAGATGATCACATGACAATTAGATGGGTATATATCAGCTCAGACTGAATGTAGTATGTCCCTAAGAGCATCTCCAATAAATGGTTCAAATGTAAAAATACCTAACTTTTGGACCGTCTGGGGCAAAAAACACTGCTCCAACGGACGGTCCATATGTAAAAAAAATTAGACCGCGGCCTCCCGGTGATGTAAAAATGAAAACTTTGTGATGTAAATTTACATCACGAGATGCAACTGGTACAAAACCGCGGCCGCCCGCCAATCACCCAACCACCACTTCATTCGCCTTCCACCTCGCGACCGCCGCCCGCGACCCGCCTGTCCGCCGCCTGACCGCCTTCCACTGCCGCCATGGCCGAAGCCAATGACCCCGCCACCTTCTCCGTCACCGCCGCAGCCGGTGGGCTGACCCACGTCGCCGTCGCCGCTGCCGCCGTGGCGAACTCGCCCTCCGCTGCCGCTGCGGCGAACTCGCCCTCCGCCGCCGCGTCCATGCCCCCCCCCCTCCCCCGCCCGCCGCCCCGGATTCGCGCCGCCCTGGCCTGTCGCCCCCGCACTGGCCGTTCCTGCAAAGGCGCCGAAGGTATGAAAATGGGCGGCTAATCGCGGCCAGAACCCAGCCAAAACTGCGGCGCGGCCGACCAAAAACTCGAAGGCAGCCGCGAGAGGTCAGGCTGACGACTCGCAGCTAGGGCCGGCCACGTCCTCCAGCAGCCAAGGAGCCTCAACCACGGCCTTTCCTCCACCTCCGCCGCCGCCACCGCCGGCCGTGGAGGAATATTTGGCCACACCGACAGTGACCGCCTCCAACATGTTCGATGGAATGTCGCAAAGGTAAAAAAAATTATTTTGTGCTCTAGTTTGTGGTTTCAAATTGAAGTGATGTTGAATGTTTGTACGTTCAGTTGTAGTCTTGATGACGAAGCTTTTTTGCACGCGACAAATGTGGCAAATGATGATTTTGTGTCACACGAGTATATGTCACAAGAATATGAAACCCAATATGGTGATGACAATCTTAACATGGACGATGAGGGCTTTGTTGCGAAGGGAAGAAGTGGAAATTATACCAATGTGGAGGATGTGTTGATATGCACCGCATGGAAGAAAGTCTCTCAAGATGCATCCATTGGAAGCGACCAAACGGTTAACACCTATTGGCAACGCATCAAGGATTACTTCGATGAGCGCAACACAAGTGGTCACTTCCGTTCGAGCGACTCTATGCCAACGTTGGTCCACTATCAACGCCGAATGCCAAAAGTAGGCCGGTTGCTTGTCAAATGTTGCTCGCATGAACCCAAGTGGTTGCGGTGATAGTGCTTTGGTAAATATTTCTTCTTCATGCGTGTGTTTCCAAATATTAGATTGTTCCAAATTTTGATGATGACGTGTTGGTTGTTCTATTGTAGAAAATGATTGCCCAAGGATTGTTTCGAGAGCGGAACATGAAAGACGAGAAGAAGAAAAGGAAAGGAAAAGCTTTCACTTTTTATCATTGCTTCAAAGAGCTCAAGGATGAGGAGAAGTGGAAAACTAGAGAGACTTTTGATGCTTCAAAGAAGAAGAGTGTGGTGACTGAGGATGAAGAAGATGATGCCGGTGAGGATAGGAGCCCCACTCTTAACTCCGCGACAAAATTCATATAGGCCCGATGGAAACAAGAAAGTGAAGGGAACCAAGGCTGGAGACAATGATCTCAAGGAAAGATTTGATGCCATTGTCACGGCGAGGAAAGAGTATGCTGAAGAAAAAAGAATGTTGAAGCTCAAGGAAATAGAGGAGATTGAGTGAGGCCAAGCGGCGGAGGGCGGCGGCCTAGGAGAAAAGGGCGGCGGCCGACGAGATGTTATCGGCCGCC